ATAAATAATTCCTGTTTTAAACTTTCTGAAATACAGTACTTAATCAAAGACATTCATTATGAACTAAACTTGCAAGCTATAAAAGTCCCTTCACTAGTTTTATAATGTAATGTAATGTTTTTAGTCATTATATTGTTTAAATAACAAAAAAGACAAAATAATATGAAAATCATAACTGACAGTAATAAAGAATAACACTTAACATGATGTGTCATTTATTTTATTTTCAATTATTTAAGATTTTCATTTAAATTATTGAAAAATTATACTATTTTGAAGCAGCCATTTTTTTTTTATCATTAGATACAATTTAATCACCATCATCTGGAAATAATTAGATAACAAAATCAAATGGGTCAACTAATATATATATATATTCACGTGTGCAACATGTGAACAGCCAGTCAGGGGTACTACTTGTACAAGTAATTTTTATTTACTTGAAGAAGTAAATATTAATATACTTATATAAGTAAATTTGTAGGATACTTATACAAGTGTATTTTATTAACTTGTATAGGTATAAAAAAATTGGGCTGAGTTATGTCCCTTAGACATTCAGATTTTTTTACTTATACCAGGAACATATATATTGACGGGACTTGACACTACTTGATTGTAGTCGATTTTATCGTCGTGCCATACTTAATAAAGATACGATACAGAAACGGACATGTGTTAAAAACGGACTCGCTATTATCCTAATAATTTCTGATATTATCAATAAAATGTCATTCAAACTAGTTTTATAGTGATGCTAGTGTATCAAATTTGTATTCTGTCACTTCAAATTTGTTAAAATCGCAAGCATTTCATCACAGCATTGTGCAGAATGCAAACAAGGTAATAAAAAAATGGCGGCCATTGCGGCGATGATTTACAAATTCCCAAACTATTACAAAACACTTCACATCAAATAAATCAAACTTATTTTGGTAATTTTATATGACAAAATATATCTTCTAAATGATAAAACTTGTATTTATTTACAATTAGAGTTATGTGGTTTATTTGTTGAGCAGTTCTGATAGTTTTTCAGTCAGACGCTACCAAAATCCGTAAATCTCGGGAAGTCTCGGGGAGTCCGAGATTTTATCAATTTTATACTGAAAAGCGTATCAGATTCATTTCCCGTTAGATATACTGTTCCCAGCTTATACAAGTAAAAAAGTCATCCTATCTTCTTTTCTTGAATTCTTATGACTTCTTTGCTCTAATAGAATTTTTGATTGTCTGTCCTTTGCAGATGTCTTTACAAATCATTTAAGTGTAATTTCATGGATAATGAAAATCTCATTTGTCTGTTATCTTCAGAACACTGCTCATTTACAAGCCCCCAAGGGGCAATTTTTGAAGGCCTTGCGCAAATACTTAAGATCTTTGCGCAATCAGTTTCTTTGTTGAATTAATGAGATGAAACATTGAACTCTTATCAAAAAATTATGAGCTAACCTGAGAAAAATTGTTAAAGGCATGTTTTTACATCTCAATACTTGAGAATTTTTGTGGGATTGTAAAAAAAAATTACTTATACAAGTAAATTTTTGAGAAAATTAAGGGGAGATTATTCAAACATTATAATTAACTTATATATATATAAGTTTATTTTATTTACTTCTTCAAGTAAATAAAGATTACTTGTACAAGTATTACCCCTGACTGACAGCTGCTCGTATGAGCAATCTGATAAAATGCACATGTGAAACAAAAGCTCATATGAGCATTTGCAAGTGAGTTTTTTAACATGCAAATTAGGTTAGTTTCATATGTGCTATTTTTTTGCTCACAAAATGCTCACCTAATTTGCATGTTAAAAACCTCATGTGCAATCATGTTAGTTTCTAACGTGAGCATCTCATGTGCAACATGTTAATTTAAGCACCATTTGGTAAGGGATATGTATAAGTTTGGATTTCGTAACTGATTAAATATATACTGTTTTGATACAGTTCATTTAAATTCTGTAAGGAAATCATTACCTAGCTTAATGCTCAATACACACATGACACATTTGAGATATATCCTTTTTAAGCTCACCTGGCCCAATGCGCCAAGTGAGCTTTTCTCATCACTTGGCATCCGCCGTCATCGTCTGTTAACTTTTACAAATACTCTCGCCTGAAACTACTGGGCCAAATTTAACCAAAATTGGCTACAATCCATATTGGGGTATCTAGTTTAAAAAATTTGTCCGATGACTTCACTTGCCAACCAACGTGGCTACCATTGCTAAAAATAGAACATAGGGTTAAAATGCAAGTTTTGTCTATTATTTTGAAAACCGTAATGAATAGAGAAAATCTGACAAGGGCCAAAATGTTCAAAATGTTGAGCTCTACCTATTGTCCATATTTGTCAAAATTGTCAGATGACTTCTCATAGGAGTTATTGCCCTGAAATGACAAATTTTACCATTATTTTTTAATTTTTGCTTATTATCTAAAACACTATAATAGATACAGCGAAACTTTAAATTGCAAAAATGATCAGCAAGACATCCCTTACAGAAATGAAAAGTTTGCTGCAATATTGCAACAATATAGCGGCAATATTGCAGCAAACAAATTTGTTTGCAAGAAGTGTTTGCAAGAAAGTTGCAGGTTGTCGCAGCTATCTGCAACATTCTCGCAATGTTACTGCAACAAAATTTGTTTGCAAGAAAATTGCAGCAAGTTTGCTGCAATGTTGCAAGAAAGAATTTGTTTGCTAGAAAGTTGCAAGAACCTTTTCTTTTATTATTTAAGGAATGACTTTTTGCAACAACTTTGCAAGAAAAGTTTCTTTAATAATGTCAGACAATCAGATAGTTTGCACCAATATTTCAAGCATTTTAAAATATTACATATGATTATTTGTTTTAAGATTTAAGGTTCAAATAATACACAACATATTGTTTCTTTGAACATTTGGTTATGGATACTTCTAACTATCTAAATTTGTTGTCGTCATACTTTATTTTACTCAGAAATATCTGGATATTTGAATAATTTATTTTAAATAAATCTTCAAATAACAATGCTTATATTTTTAGAATTCCTAAACTGTACATCACATTAATATGATATTATGTAAGGAAAGAATTTCAAGAATACCTTGGTATTTATTTCAACAAGTTTAATCTAAATAATTGAGTCATAATAATTTTTGTTCTACATGTATTATTATGCCTTTTGTCACTTTTTTGTGACATTTTTCTATGAACAATATTTTTAATTCTAATATTTTCCATCAAATGAATTTAGCCTCACCTGCAGGTTGCATTTTGTTTAATTTCTAGTATCATTATTTTAAAACTATGTATACCCAAGTCAAAGTGGAAGGCAGTTTCTTGGCAGTTTCTTAGCCTTCCAAGTTCACATATTTAGCAGTTTCTGATGCTTGGCAGTTCTTAACCTTCAAAAATTAACCAGTTACTTCATATACAAAAATAAGCAGTTTTCCTAAACCTTCACAGTTATTCTGGCAGTTCAAAGCAGTTCCTTAGCTGCTTTAGGCAGTTTCTTAGCAGTTATTTTCACGAAATATTTAAATTAGGTACTAAAAACTGCTTTCAGTTCATGAATATTCATATTAAACTGCTTCTAGTTAATTAATATTCATATAAAACTGGGAAATAACTGCTAAGGAAAATGCAAATATGGTCATGATCTTATGCATTATTTGTACTAGTAGCTGTTAAAAAAGTAACAATAACATGTAATAATTATCAAAAACAAAAATATATCTTCTCTATGTTATCCAAATTCATGATTAATATGTTTAGCTTTTATGTATTACAATTAAATATTGATGTCAGAGGTGCAACATGTAATTAAAGTTTCAATTAAGTCATCTGATAAAATGGAAATCAAGATTCATGCAATCTTATATACAATATGATATACTTGAAATTAATTACTTATTATATTACCTGATTAGTAAGAAGACTCTTAAATATTAATATGATAAAGTATATTTGTAAACCAAATCAATTTTATTCTGATATAATCTTTATAAATACATGACACGTAAACCAGCTGGACTGTCACAATTATGTCAGGAGCGAAAATAAGAATTAAGCTATTATAGATAAATATATCATACCAATGTCATTATTGTTTTGTTATGATAAAAATGTATTTTGAATAAAACATTGAAAGTACAATTTCAAAAAATCAAAATAATTACAGAATCCAATTTTTTGCACTTACCAGAATTAATTAAGATGTAATCCAAAATTCACACAATTAATATGATTATAATCTTCAAAAATTGCCATTGAGACAAGGCCCATCTTTAATATTCAATGTGAAAAGAACTATTTCCAAGTATATATTATATCCCAAGTAAAATTTCATTTTGTTCATGTAAGAAGACACATCTTTCTTGTTGTCTTCCTGTATTCCAAATTCAAATTTTATGATATTGCAATGCATGGGGATGTTTAAGGAGTTGTTTGATTCTGTGTAAGTGTTCCCTTAAAGATTACTAGCAATTAAGTGCCTAAATCATTAAAATGTGATAAATAATATTAAGAAAAAAATATCCATTTTTGTTTAAATAAGTTATTTTTATTAAAAGTGGTAGTAATTGCCAAACAATATATTAAGATAAGTGTTCTCCTTTATGTGCCCTAAATTTCAGTGAAGATAGTGACTTCCTGTGTCCACCACAGAGAGGTCAATTGTAAACAGATGGCATATTTCTACAAGACCTATTTATCTAAATCACATTAACTCTGTTTGATGCAACTGCCAAGAAATAATTTACAAATCAAACTGCTAATTTTATAAAAATAACTGCCAACCTTAGCTGGAAGACAATTATAACCTTTATCAAACTGCTTTGAAATATTTAAACTGCTTAAATTAACTGCTTTCTTTTACTTGTAGGCAGTTATTTTAAACTGCCTAAATCAAAACTGCTTTGTACTGCCCCAAAACAGCTAAAAATTCAAGATACTGCTATAAAACTGCCAATGAACTGCTTAAATAGGCAGTTCACTTTGACTTGGGTACACAAATTATCTTTCTCATCTCAATTAGTAATATGAGCTGGTGATAGAAATGTAATGTGCCATCTGGTTTCAATTTATCTCTGTGTAGTGGTAAAGACAGGAAGTACCATAAATTAATGTACACAGAGTTTGAGGCCAAATTAAGGGTAGAGCATTTCTTCTTTGTATATATTTCCATTATAACTTATAACATCAAAGATAAAAAAAAATATATATATATAATTATTTTTTTATTATAATATATAACAAATATTCAAGATTTAGGCAATTGATATTTATAATTAGGGGCAAATTTCAAAGGGATCACACTGTCACAATACCCTAAGCAACCTTGATCAACATATTCAAAATTTGAACTGGACATGAACATGCATACAACAAACAAAGATGTCTTCTATCATGAACAAAGTAATATGAATTTTACAAAGGATTTAGATCCAAAAGTTCCAATTAATTCTATTGACACTGGATAGTGCATATGATAGCCTTCAGTTGACATGACTCTTGGATTTAGGAAGATTGGTGTTTACACATAATTTGGATAACATCTTTTGGTAAGTACAATGGAGTTGAATGTCCACCATTTTGAATAAGTGCTTGCTCTTACAGTTCAAAATAGTGATATTCAAAGAGTTTTCTTAACTTAATAGAGTTGACAAAAGTATAAGACAATAGATTTATGCACATGAATATTATTAAAATTGTGTAAGACAGGAGATATTTTTTTAAATCTATTTAAGACTATATGTTTTAGAAAGTACATTACTTAAATTGAAACAAGAAATCTTCTAGTAAAAGCAGTTTGGTATTAAATTAGAGATCTGTGATTTGACTGCCAATAAGAGGTCTTTCAACAAATGGCAACAATATTTAGCTTTTATATATACACAACTAATCACAAAAATTTTAAAGAATAGACAAGACCAATTATGTTATAGTTCAATGAAAAACAAATATTCAAAAAAGCAATAACAACCTAGTACTGGCATAAGGTTAAATGTTTAGTAATATGCAATTTCTAGAAGGACTTGATAACTTTTAGACATTGACCCTTTAAGTGAAACAAATGCTGGAAAAATTGGTCTGTAATCATCTCTTTATAAAGAGTTATTTTCATTTTACAAGTCCAGAATTTACAATATATAGTAGTAACTTATATCTTTATATCTTTATAATGTTTAGTTATTCTTTTAATGTATGCTAAATTCTTCAACTTTTATTTTGCAGTATTTGAAATCAGAAAATTCAACTTTAAGGACAGTGAGTACAGAGAAACAGAACTAAAGGATACACAGATATGTAACACAACAACCTATAGAGGACAGAGAAAATTTTGTTTTATTATTAAATCATACTTTTTTAAATGCTTAGTTTTTAATTCCTAATTTTTCAACTGAAATTGTTGAAAGATTTGCTGCAATATTGCTGCAATATTGCAAGAAATTAATTTTCCTGCAATATTGCTGCAACATTGCAGCTAATGAATTTGCCGCAATATTGCTGCAACAATCATAGCTACTGATTTTCCCGCAAACATTTGCTGCAATATTGCCGCAAATTGTTGCAGCAATATTGCAGCAACTGTTTGCAAGAAAACTAATTTGCATACGAAAAATGAATATTTGCAGCAATATTGCCGCAAATATTTGCAGCAACATTGCCGCAAATATTTGCAAGAAGCCTTATTTTTCCATAAATATTTGTTCTACAAATAAGTCTGCATTGTTAAAATTGTCAGCCGTCTCCTAATAAGACTTATTGCCCTTTGATGATGATTTTTTACGAATTTTTTCTCAAAATTTAAAATAGATAGATAGAAACTTAAATAAGCAAAAATGATCAACAAGACAAGATCTACAATTAAGACAATGTAGAGGAAATCGTCCGATGTCTCCTTGGAATTATTGCCCTTTAATGACGATTTTAATCTTTTTTTGGGGGTTTTGCCTTACATGATAAAAATTATAATATATGAATAGACACTTTAAATCACACAAATGATCAGCAACGCAAGATCTACTAACAAGTAACATTTCGCTGATATAGGTAGGCTGTCACTCTTTATATATAGGAGTGATTGCCCAGCCCCTGAAATAGTGATTTTTTACCCTCTTTTGTGTTTTGAGCAAAATCTAAAGAAGTTAGAGAGAAACTAAACAGAATAAATGATCAGCAAAACAGAGATATTTGTTATGAATTCTATTTTGTCTACAATGTTGGAGAGCTGTCCTTTGTTGAATATGCACAAGGTGAGCGGCTCAGGCTCTTTAGCGCATCTAGTTTTTTAATTGATCAAAATTGGCAATAATATACACAGTAATTTCTGATTTTCTGTTATCTAAATTTTGTTGCATGAATTTTTTGAAAGAATTTTTGTGTTTACAATTAAACCGTAACATTATCACCTGGGATTTTTTAACATTGCATTTTGAAGGTATGTGATGAGAATTCACTGTTCAAGAGCCAAGCACGATACTTGGTAAAGAGCAGAGATATGAAGTTGTGGGCACAAGCTTTAGTAGAGGATAATGAGTTCAGAAGACAGTTGATAGATCAGGTAAAATGTAATATAAGCTGACTCTAAATAGAAATTCATAATTTCAAAGTAAATTGTTGAAAAGATGATTTGCTCCTAGTTTTGAAAATAAGCTACATTTAGGATGTTCGCTCCTCTTGTTTTTGAAATTTTGCCTAATATTTGGAATCCTCTAATCTAGTTTTATCCATGTAGTGCCATTGAATTTTTTTGCCCACTAACCCCTACTTAGTTTCCCATAATTTGATTACATATAGTTTAAAATGCCATCTTTGAAAATCTTATAAAATCCTTATTATTTTTTCATAGTTTTTGAAAGAAAAAAGGTGCCAATGTTAACTGTATGAAAAATCTAGAGAGAATCATTTCCCGCCAAATTTTCAATGGCTTATATCTCAAAAACAAGCACACGGACCCTTCATTTTTTTTCTGCTTTTTTAGTTCCTTTATTTATATATATACTATCAATTTATAACAGTCTTTTAAAAAGCTTGTTATTTTGAACAGAGTAGCGAACATCCTTAAGTAGGAATGAGAAGAACATGTAGAGTATAGAATAAACAAAGAGATATGCCACAGACAGTTATCCAATGACATTAGTCAATCTAAATTTAATCTTATTGTCACCGTAACTTAAGAACAGGCCAACACTATATTTCAAGAATAAAATCTCCCCTAGTATAGACAAGTTGTCACTAAATTCAATAGATGACCAAATTTAATTGTTTTCCATCAGAACTAATTCTAAATGCATAAAGAATATGATGATAAATTTACAAGGGGGGTGGGGTTAATTTGATCAGAACAGATAATAGACAGCATATATGTAACTGTCTTTGGACAGATCAGAGTGCCAAAGATGTATACAGACAATTGGACTATACTGAATAAAGGCTCATAAAAAAAAACAATATCGTTATCATTTTAAATTTGCTTAATCACAATATTTTCACCACTTCGTAAGTTGGCTGATAACATGAAGTTTAAGGTATTAACCGACATACATTAGAGGAAAACAGACGAATTCGCGTAATATCTGCACAAAGTGAGATTATAAGATGAGTATAGAGAGGATCGGTATCTGTTGTCTTATTTACTCGTCATAAGATACTAATGTCATATCTAGAAGCAATCTATGGTCTCGATGGTGTTTACCGATTAAGGGGCAAATAAAATAAAGATCCTAACAAATAGTAATAAAAAATATAAAGAATTGAGAAAAATGTCTTTATAAATAAATTTAAAAAAAAAAACAGAAATGGAGACCTCCCACCAAGACCTTTAACTATCACCAATGCAAATACAATTGTAAAGAAGAAACCTACCGAGGGAGCAATCAAAAACTGTTGTTCAAATGAAATATAGACAACACCATGGCCAAAATGGAAGCAACACTAGTTTTCCTATGTTCAAATAAAAAAATATAAAATCCATTTAAAAGGTACCAATGCCGAAGGGAATAAAATGAAGGAATAGCAGGATCTTCAGAAGGAGTGAAACCAGACACATTGCCAGGGTAGGCTTCCCGCCATCTGGGACTAAAAGTGCTAATCCAAAAAAATTGCTAATCTGCAAAAAAAGAAAAAAAAAACTTAAATATTGACAACCGACCCAAACCAAGGTGGACTCAGGTGCTCTGGAAGAGTAAGCAGTGTTTGCTTCACTAATGAAACCTGTGGTGGTCATAAAAAAATTCCCTAAGTCACAATTAAAGTTGGTGTTAACTGTTATCAGCATTTTAAATTGGCCAAAATCGAGGTGTTGTTAACATGTTAACAGACCCCCTATTGCCCTCCCCCACCCCAGTGGCTGTCAAAGCCTTCATGATAGCAGACTTACCAAATGAATTGATAAAATTGTTAGAGAAAATAATCCTGGATGATAACTCAGTCTTCAGTGATCATAGGTATATACTTTTATTGCATATTTATGTCCTGTATCAGTATGTCTGTTTTCACTTATCATAGGTATATATTTTTGTAGCATATTTTTGTACAAAGTAATTGTCCTGGATATCTCCTTAAAGAAGTTACAGTTATTGTAGGTATTATATACTTATATTTATTTATTTTTATTTATCTATTATCTTGCTTTACCATTCTTGTTGATCATGAGCTCTTAACAATACTGAATAATTGCTGAAGTATGTAATTAGTATACTGTAAACCAACATATTTTTCGCGAATACTTTATTTTGCGTTTATCCCTTACTAGCTCATTTTCGCGGCGATTAAATTTCATGATTTTAAATTGGTTTGATGTATAGTTGAATAAGGCAAGATCCAAGTTTTACGTATTTGCAACGATTTATATATTCCCGTTATTTTTCTACTTGCAAAAAACGTGACAATTAATCTCTCGCGAAAATTAGATGGTTTACAGTGTTCCCTTTTTGAAATGCTTTTAACCTTGTGGGTTATTAAGAATTGTAAGAAACAGTTTTTCCACAAATAGCGGTTTTAACTGCATGTTAATGATTATAAAGTGTTATTGTTTTTCAGAAATCTACAAAACTTGTTGATCCTGACGGCCATTAAAGCTGACCGTACCCGTGTTATGGAATACATCAACAGACTAGATAAGTATGATGCTCCTGATATAGCTAATATAGCTATAAATAATGAACTGTTTGAGGAAGCTTTCGCCATCTTTAAAAAATTTGATGTCAATACATATGCTGTGCAGGTTTGTTCTATAAAGTTGTTTTTAGCTCACTTGACAATTTATGGTCCTGTGACCTAGCTATTGCAATCTTCCTTGGGATATGCAAAATCATGGCTAACATGACTTAAAATAGAACTTAGGGGTAAAAGTTGGCCAAGTTGCTCATCATGTCGTTTTTGTTACTAAAAACTCCCCCCCCCCCCCTAAAAATCAAATGGTAGCTCCCTAAGCAAAACAAGATCTATAAATTGGTAAATATGACTGAAATGTCAATTAACTTCTTAAGGGAGTTATTGCCCTTTAATGAATAATTTGTCCATTTTTAAATTTGTTTATACTCCCTTTGAAAGGAGGGGTATACTGGTTTACGTTAGTCAGTCCTTCCTTTCTGCCCCTCTGTGTGTCATTTGAACCATCCCATTATATTTTGATTGCACTTATTTCTGGTAATACAAGTCAAAGCCTCCTGAAATTTAGTATTAAATTGCATATAATAGATATAAGAAGATGTGGTATGAGTGCCAATGAGACAACTCTCCATCCAAGTCACAATTTGTAAAAGTAAACCATTATAGGTCAAAGTACGGTCTTCAACAGGGAGCCTTGGCTCACACCGAACAGAAAGCTATAAAGGGCCCCAAAAATGACTAGTGTAAAACCATTCAAATAGAAAAACCAACGGTCTAATCTATATAAAAAAACAAGAAACACTTATGAACCACATCAACAAACGACAACCACTGAACATCAGGTTCCTGACTTAGTACAGGTGCAAACAAATGCAGCAGGTTTAAAAGTTTTAATAGGTACCAACCTTCACCCTTACCTGAAACAATAATGTAACATCACAACATAGAAAGACACACTATAAAATATCAATTGAAATGGCTTAACTCAATCAAAAGACATATCAACACAAACAAGGGAACATACACTGAAGCATGCTATACTGTGTGATGCATTTTGCAGATGCATCACTCATCCAGTCTTACTGTTAACTGAATACATTCTTACATGTAGTGACCATAAAATAGTATAAAATTTTGTTCCCATTTTGTCAGTAACTACATATCAGAGCTTTCTAAAAGGAAGAAGTTCAATTTTTGCAAAATTTGCCCTTGTAAAGCACTGAAATGAAGTTATTTTTTTGTATTTATACTACTAGCACAACTATTTATATGAAATTTGTAGTATTTTGGCCTGATTGATCAGATAAGTTTCCATTCTAACATGGGAAAAAATATGTTTTATTCTATATCTGTAATTCAGTTTTTATGCCCCACATAGGGGCATTATGTTTTCTGGTCTGGCTTCTGTTTATTCGTCCATCCGTTCTTCCGTCTGTTCATCTGTCTGTCCCGCTTCAGGTTAATGTCTTTGGTCAATGTAGTTTTTGATGAAGTTGAAGTCCAACCAACTTGAAACTTAGTACACATGTTCCCTATGATAAGATGTTTCTAATTTTAATGCCAAATTAGAGTTTTGACCCCAATTTCACAGTCCACTGAACATAGAAATTGATAGTGCGAGTTTGGCATCCGTTTAATTTACTATGGACACATTCTTGTTTTATTTTCTTCATTTCTTGATAAAAACATTGATTGTAATATGTTATCAACCAAAAAGAATTCTAATACTGTTATCCGATGATAAACAGCATGTTCCAAATGATGTATTTGTATTTAGGTGTTGATTGACCATGTAAAGAACTTGGACAGAGCCTATGAGTTTGCAGAGAGATGTAACGATCCAGCAGTATGGAGTCTTCTGGGACATGCACAGTTAGATGCTAACATGGTGAAGGATGCTATAGATTCCTTTATCAAAGCTGATGACCCAACTAATTACATGAACGTAGTTAAAGTAGCCAGTAAAAATAGTATGTTTTAGTGTCACTTGCTTCATAGAGTTGACATTATGTAAAGAGTTTTGATGAGAAACTTCAGAAATTTTGTTGACACAAAACAGTGGGATTTTATGTACATAATATACAATTGAAAATATTTAAACTTGAAATAGAACCTAAAGACATGACAGTTTGAAATATACATAAAGAAATACTATTATCAAATGTAAGGCATAAAGTTTCAATAAAAGCAATTTTCTGAAATAATGCATGTATTGAGAAAACAGCTTTTCATGTACTTCACATTGTTTTAACTGACTAATGTTTTGAATTCTGTATCACTTATTGATGAATTTCTTTTAACACATGCAAAAAAATAATTTTCACGTAAGAAATGTTTTGAAGATAATTTAAAAGGTATACATTTGAATACAATTGAAATGATTGCTTATAAATGCAGAAATGTTGTTTTTTTAGTCAAATACTTAAAAATGATAGATCTTTTTATTTGTTTACAGATAGCTGGGAAGATTTAGTCAAGTTCTTACAGATGGCTCGTAAAAAAGCGAGAGAAAAATTCATAGAAACAGAATTGATATATGCCTATGCAAAGACAAACCGATTGGCAGAGTTAGAGGAATTCATATCTGGTCCTAACCAAGCCAATATCACACAGGTGAAGTAGAACATATCATTTTCAAATTTCTACCTAAGAAAATGCCTGTACCAAGTCAGGAATATGACAGTTGTTATCTATTCGTTTGATGTGTTTGAGCTTTTGATTTTGCCATTTGATAAGGGACTCTCCCTTTTGAATTTTCCTTGGAGTTCAGTATTTTTGTGATTTTACTTTTTTTTGTAGAATTATTCTATTTGATGAAACTTAACAATGAAAAATTAAAAATCATTAGAAATATGCATGAACTCTTTACAGATTGAATAATCACTAGCTGTTTTAAAATTTAAAAAGATGTGATTAAAGATAAAACTGAATCCATAGCCATATTAAGATCATTTTAATAGAATAAACCATTGAACATTATACTTGTGCACCTTTAAGCAGGTTTTATTTCTGTGATTCTTTTTACGTTCTCTGCTAAGTAGTTTCCTTAGTTGTCCTTCCTTTAATTGCTATACACTCAGTGTCAACTTTAAAGTATATTTGGAGTCACTCATATTACAGCAAGAATGAACGAAATTTAACTTGTTACTTGTCCATGTTTATAGGGTATTCTAGTTTAAATAGAATTCGCACTGAAAAAAGTTCTAATGTCTTGCTGATTGATTGACGTATTTATGAATTGTAGTTTTTATAACATTTAGACTTTCTGTAAAGACAGGTAGCAGACAGATGTTTTGATGACAAGATGTTTGAGTCTGCTAAGCTTCTATACAATAATGTATCTAACTATGACAAACTGGCTATTACCCTAGTCCACCTTAAAGAAAACCAAGCTGCAGTTGATGGAGCCAGGAAAGCTAATAGTACAAGAACTTGGAAAGAAGTAAGTCTTTCTTTTGACTGTATAGAAAATATGTGAAAGCACTTCTACTGTATATTTCATGCTATTTCATTTCTTTCTTGAATATTCTTTGATAATCGGCAAAATAAATAATGTGGAAATTGAGTTAATATAGTATACTAACATTCTTTACATAGGTGCTCATTTTTTAGCTCTACTGGCCCAATGGGCCAAGTGAGCTTTTCTCATCACTTGGCATCTGTCGTCCGTCGTCGTCGTCGTTGTCCGTTAACTTTAACAAAAATTTTCTTCTCTGATACTACTGGGCCAAAGTTAACCAAGCTTGGCCACAATCATTACTAGGGTATCTAGTTTAAAAAATGTGTCTGATGACCCCGCCTGCCAACCAACATGGCCGCCATGGCTAAAAATAGAACATCAGGGTAAAATGCAAGTTTTGTCTACTATTTTGAAAACCATTGTGAATGGAGAAAATCTTACAGGGCAGAAATGTTCAGATTGTTGAGCTCTACCAATTGTCCATATACTTCAAAACTGTCAGACGATTTCTTATAGGAGTTATTGGCCTTAAATGACAAATTTTTATTTTTTTTTATTATATTTTTGCCTATTATCTTGAAAACTATACAAGATAGAGAAAAACTTTAAATTACAAAAATGATCAGCAAGACAATTTCAACAAATATGTCTGCATTGTAGAAATCATCAGTCGATGCCTTATTAGAGTTATTGCTCTTTGATGACGATTTTTACCAATTTTTTGCGTTTTTACCTTATATCTTAAAAATTATAATAGATAGATAAAAACTTAAATAAGCAAAAATGATCAGCAACTCATGAACTACAATTAAGACAATATAGAGGAAATCATTCGAAACTCCTCATTGGAGTTATTGCCCATTAATGACAATTTTCACCCTTTTTATACGACCGCAAAAAATTTGCATTTGTATAATGCTATCATGTCGTCGTCGTGGGAGGCGTCGGCATCGTCCGAAGAAACATTTGGTTTCCGGGCAATAACTTGAGTTTAAGTGAATGGATCTCTATGAAATTCTACCAGAAGGTTCAATACCACAAAAGAAAGGTTGGGATTGATTTTGGGGGTTTTGGTACCGACAGTTTAGGAATTAGGGGCCAAAAACAAGCATTTTTGTAGTTTCCGGACAATAACTTGTGTGTAAGTTTATGAATCTCTCTGAAATTGTACCACAAAGGTTTCATATCACAAAGGGAAGGCTGGGATTGAGTTTGGGGGTAATTGCCCCAAATGTTCAGGAGTTAGGGGCAAAAAAGGGGCCAGAAACATGCTTTTTTCTAGTTTCCAGACAATTTTTGGGGGTTCTAACCTTGTATTAATATTTTGGATATTGGGCCCCATTTTTAAATTGTCTACATTGAGATCCAAAGGGTTCAAATTTAAACTGAATTATTGCAGCTCTATGATATGCTGAATCTTATTGTGCATTTAGATTTTTTTTATTTTGGACCCTGTTTTCAATTTAGTCCATATTAAGGTTTGAAGGGTCCAAAATTAAACTTTGTTTGATTTCAACTAAAATTAAATTTTTGGTGTTTTTTTATATGCTGAATCTAATCATGTTGTTAGATTTGGATATCAGACCATACTAGGTAAATTAAATGTCCCATTTCAAATTTTAAGATCTTTGACCACATTTATTTTGTGTCAGAAACCTATATTATGTCAAAAATTTGATCACAATCCAAATTCAGACAGTATCAAGCTTGAATATTGTGTCCAAACTTGCCCCAACTGTTAAGTGTTCAACCTCTACGGTCATATCAGGCTGTGCTTGGCGAAGCATTTTATTTTTGCATTTTGCCTTATATTATAAAAATTATAATAGATAAATATACACTTTAAATCACGAAAATGATAAGCAAGTCAGTCAAGACCTACTAACAATTAAATTTTGCTGATATAGTTAGTAGACTGTCACTCTTTATAGGAGTGATTGCCCTTAAATGAGGATTTTTTTTAACCCTCTTTTGTGTTTTGAGCAAAAATTAAAGAAGATAGAGAGAAAGTAAACAGACTAATAACCTAAACGGTACCAATCTTCTGCACCAGATGCGCATTTGACAATTTGCATAAAAAGATTTGCCACAAGCTTACTACAATCTTCATTTGCATGGTAAAATGGTTGCAGCAAGATTGCACCAAGTGTTACTTGCAAACTTGCGGCAATGTTTGCTGCTCGGTTGTACGTTGCAAACATTTGCCACAAGGATTTTTTGGGGTAGTGGTATTTTTTCCAATGAGAATAAACACCAATTTTGATAATTAATCATAATAAGTTAGGCCACACCAAATTGATATAATGTTATACAAAATCTGTTCTGAATGTTCCTATTATATTTTTTTTATCCTAAGAAAAGTTTTTTTACCGTCATGCTTTCAGATATATAGGAGATCAAGGAATAGTTAATACTATTGACATTCTACATTTTAATCCTTGTGTTGCCTTTTTTATTGGACTTAGGATTTTAGATTGCCCCCTTGGTATATAAATTTCTCTCTTTCTTTTTTATTTTGATAAAAATTTTGTCTGAACACAAGTTTAAATTTAGGGCCAAAATCACTTACCCCAAGATAGTTTGTATAATGATAAAAAATGATTGAAATAGTTTCAAAATGAGATCAGAAAAAAGATGAGGTAAAAACAAATATTGGGGATCCCCTTAATGGTGCATCAGCTACGAGATAAAGAAAAAACAAAAATTATTTTTTTTGTTCAATTATAGATGAAAGTGATATAGTGGAATAATAATTTGCTTTTAGCTGCCAGTTTGGTTCAATTTTGTCAAATAAGCTAAGAAACATGGCTGATGAATTATTCATTTGCAAGTGAATAATTTGACCTCATTGAAACTGTATTCATGTAACCTTCTATTTTACCCCTTAGCTAGCTAGAGATGGGTTACGCATGAATTTGGCGTGTTCAGTTATTAAAAGGAAAAGAATGTCAACATTGAAAGTAAAACAAGGGTAAACCATTTGATTGACTGCCTCGATCCACAAAAACTCATTCTTGTACAGGTAAAAACGATGATTAACATAATTGTTGAACCTATAATATGAAATCAAACAGACCTAGAACAATCCAATTGCACGTGCTAGCTATCTATTTATATCTATATTTATGTTTATATCAGGTTATTTGACTGTCGGCAGTCTTCGTAGATCACAATTTGACAGCTGATGCCCCTTTAAAAGTGACAATTTAATCTCAGTTATCAAACAAGGAAAAACAGTTGAGTTGACATTTCTTAGTTAGAAATAAATGTAGGTGGTGTGGCTTGATTGTAAGTGAGACAAATGTCTACAAAAGTTTACCTAAGGCCAATTAAAATTAATTGATTGATTTTCATCCCCGCCCGCCCCTCTGAAATCGTCCCGCCCCGATTTTTTTTATTTAAAAAAATTTACGATTTTCGGATTTTGTTCATTTCCGTTACCGAAAACCATCGATAATTTCGTTTCATTCATAACTTCCTGTAGCAAATTTCAGTTTTCGTATTTCTTCGAGTAATTTAACCAAAATGATTAAGCCGAAATATTCTGCTGCTCTATGATGACAGCATTATCTTCCGAGAAAAGGGATTGCTTACGAGAAGGGCATAAAATATACGAGTAACAGGCGGTGTCCAAGAACGCAAATCGCGGTCAGTGATTAGAAACCTGTGGATTTTTTTTTATACAATGACTTTGTGTCAGGAAATTTGTACTGTGAATGATATCCAAAGCACAAAAATCGTGGAACACATTGCTGCAATAAAACAAAAATGACTGGGATAAGGAAATTGACACAAGCACGAACTTGTGCGATCTAAGACCATAAATTGAGTACAAAAAAGTCGGCCAACGTAATGCTATGTCTCAAAACTTTTCCAGATACACAGGGTTATCTGTACTCCGAGTAAATTTTGAGGTGAAAATGTAACCATTTTATCCAAAGGGTCCACATAAAAATTGGTTTCTAAAGCCGCAATCACATGTAGAACAGTGGTTGTCAATCCAAAATCTTTATTAAGAATTTGAAAAATTATGTAGAATTCCTTATATATACATGATATAAGCTTAATATTACCCTTGCATATGAACAGTCTGATTGAAACCAGCCCCCACTATCTACAAAGGCAAATGGATAGTGGGGGCTGGTTTTAATCAGAATGGCATATGACATGTATGAAGAACACGTCACAAAAGGGTTTCGGAGGAAATAAAAATTAAAAAATAAAATCCTCCCACCCGCCCCATTTTTTTCAAAAATTTGGATGAAAATCTTCTAATTAATTTTAATTGGCCTAACTGTTGATAATGCTCACTTAAATAACAAAATTCTGCTAGAAAAACAATCTATTAGTATAAGAGACATTTTAACCACGTCCATGTACAATGTATTTGCCCTTTCAGTACTTCAAAGAGGTTTTAAGGTGGTACCTAACACCTTGACTAATATTAATTTGGCTCGTTTAATTTTCATAAAATTTTGACAAAATGTTTACTTTGACCCTTTGATAAAAAAATAAAAATTTCAAAAAATTTGAACCAACCACTTTATCAGAAAAATTTCATTGGTTATATAGCAGTTTGACAAACACTAATTTTGATCATTGAGAAGCTTAATATTCCCTTAACAATAGAACGTGATTAAAACGTTTAGCTGATTTTTACAGAGTTATCTCCCTGTAGTGTTAGGTACCACCTTAAAACAACTGCTACTTTGAATAAGACATTTGTAAGGAATTTATTTAATGTTTAGTTTGTATTGCAGATGTTCAAGTCAGATTGGCTGGATTACACCACCGATGATGCTTATTAATAGGTTAAGTGCTTTCAGGTTGTTTTCTGTAACTTTAATTCAGATAAATATTTACATATTATATATATAAAGGGTTCTGAAAACAAGATTTTAAAAGGAAAATTATCATATGGAAAGATTAATAGTCAGAGCTAATTAAGACATAAATAAGTCTAATTTTGCTTTTGGCACATAGAAATTATTAAAGTAAAATTTAAGGAAATAGCAATAAGTATCTATTAGCATGATTAGTAACTGCATTTCTTATGCACATAATTTGTAAGCTGCATAACCATATAACTCTAGCTTTACTATATGCTCAAAAGTTTGTTTTTTTTACATTTTAAATGAAAAATACTTTACCATTCTTAGCTTCATTATTATTTTTAAACCAGAACCCCAGACACTTTAATTAAGCTATAACTTTCCAGCTATATTGACCATTATAAGTATCCTATAAGTGGTGCCATGGTTAACTTTAAACTTAAAAACTAATTTGATTATTTTTACAAAGGGTCCCAATGGTAAACCTCTGACTGGACAAGGAGCAACTAGTGGAGAACCACAAGAGGAAGACTTGAGCATGGTAGTAATAATTTATTTGTGCATGTATTTCATAAGTTATTCCACAAAAAATGTTATAAATCTGTCTGTTCAGCTTGCCAATGTTCATGCTGTTATGGCAATTAAACAGAGGGAAAAAATCTGATGTGACTCAAGAAGAATGTAGAAAAATTAGTTCTACCATATAATGAACCTAGTTTAATGTTTTGTGGTTGTACAAGGTGTGCGAGCAGTTTTTTTTTTTAAGGACAGGCACTTTATATCATTCCTATGCAATGCATTATGAACTGTTCAACCAATGCTTTTAAATGTTAATTTGTTATTACAAAATTGAAATCAAGTTTAATATTGTTAATTTTCACTTGTGCCATGCAGGAGTTATGGCCCTCTATTGCATAAACAATGACAGCTGTAATAAATGAAATAAAAACATGCTTTCCTGCCAATTAGACATTAAGCCCACGGGGGATATAGAAATACTGGGAGTCCATCCGTCTGTCTGTCTGTGCGTCCATCTGTCCGGTCTTGTTAGGGCTCTCAGTGTACAGTTCTTGCCAGAATTTTATGAAACTTATATCATAGGTTTATATCATCAATGTCTTAGACCAGTTGGAAAATCAGTGCCGATCAATTATTTTTAAAGATTTATGCCCCTTGGAAACATTAATTATATGGAAAATTGCGTTGTTAGCGCTCTCATGTGTACAATTCTTGCCAGAATTTTAATCCAAAGAAATTAATGGAATTGGTGCATTTCTTCTATTGTTAAGTATACCGGTATTTAAAAAGTTTTAAAATTGTTCTTACTTTTCATAGAATTAGACATAAAAGGAAAAACTTTAAAAAAAATTTTGATGTAGTGAAAAAGACTCGCCATGTAAATGTCAAACAAATTTTCAGTTATGGGCCTGACCTCTAACATCAAAAACAAATGTTATATTATTACTTTTTTATGGCAATATTAGGCAACACATACATTTATAAGTTTATTCTTTGGACTCATTCAGTCTTAAATTTTTTAGATTACAATATAGAACAAGAAATAAAACTTTTGTTATTATCTCTTTATCAATTTTTCGCTCTGTTTTTATAAAACATGTATTTTTTTCCTAAAAATACACTTAAAATCGATTCACTAAAAAAAGAACTCTGTAAATTTTGGGCTGCTGGTAAATTATTTGTAAAATGTTACAAAAAAAAACAGGTAAATTATTTGTAAAATGTTACAGAAAAAAACTGGTTTCAAGTTATTTTTGTGTGGCCTTAAGATACAACAAACACTTATCTTAATATTTAGGATACTGATCATTTTGATGAGATGTATGAGCATGGGTTTGAAGAAGAGATGGAAGATTTTAGGAAGTCAGTCACCTTAAGTTTAATTTGGATGAATCATGATTATTTTGACTCAAAGATTTTGTCAAAGGCACAAGGCGAATACAAATATTACAAGACTTTGGAAAGGCAATGGAAGCAACAGGTAAAATTATAATGTAGCTAGTGTATGTTTTGCATCATACATTTATTAATACAAGGAGATGTGGGGCAAAGGCAAATGAGACAGCAACTCAACCACAAAAATAACTAAACAATACTTGGAGGGCAACATATGCAGTCTTCAATGTGTCTTTATATATAATATTTCAAGCTCCAAATCATCTTGAGTCTATAAAAGTTGTGAATAAATGAAAAGATTATCTATCAGATATGCCATCAAATCCAAATTCTCCAAATAGCAAAAAACATGATGATATGACAACCCCTCTTGAGACAAGCATATGCATAAGTTACAGGATTTTACTTTTTTTTTTAACCAACCTTACCCTTTCAAATTCCATCATTGTATCAACATTCATTGAATGAAAAAACATTATTCCTCTTGAAGAAAGAATCTTGCAATCTGAATGGTTAATTACCCAAGTGTAAATAGTACACTATCTTGGGTATGAAATTTTGCCCTAAAACTGGCAAAATAAAAAAAATAATAATTAGGGAACGACCATTAAACTTCAAAGGGGGAGGGGAGTGTTATGTTTTTTCCCTTAAAAAATATTCGGATCCCCAATGTGATGAAAAAAAATATTGTAGTCAAACAGATGACCAAAAACATATATTCTGAATCCAGATTTTCCCCATACCGTAAAGTGTTAAATTACGAAAAAAAATAATTTGATTGATAGTGTAAAAAAACTTAATAAAAATGTTTGCGCTTTGCACGAAAAAAAATTCTGACTCTGACAAAAAACCATAACCCCCCTTGAAGTTAAAAGGTTGCTCCCTTTAGTAATATTTAGCTATGAACAGCAACATCAGTGTAAAAATGTGTGTCAGAAGTTTTTCATCAGAATTTTTCATGTTTACACACCCCTACATAAAATTGAATAAAGCCAAATGATGGTTTCATAAATAATAGATTTGTTATCATCATTTTTTGGTGTAATCAGGGGTGTAATAAATTTTAACACCTGTGTAAAATTTCATACACACCTGATTATACCAAGATAACTAACAGTATTATTTCTTATAATTATGTCATGCGTGTTGTCAAAGAATTAATAAATTGAGCTGCATCGGTATTAGAAATAGATCTTATGCAAATGAATATCAATACATCTGATAACCTATTTCGGTTAATAAAATCTAAACAGAAAGTCTGTAACTGTTTGAAAATTGAGTTGTTATACGAACCCCACAACACAGACCAACATCCATCTTTTATTTTGTAGTTGAATGTTCCAAAATCAATCAAAGTCTTATACATGTACATCTACACGTGCACTTGCATAAGGTTGATTTCTATCCAATGCAGCTCAAATGATAATTTCTTTGGACTAGCTCTGTCAATCTTTTTTCAAAGCACTGGTTTCAGATAGGAATGTCAGCAATTTGAAATGCCTGTCAAGAAAGTTTAAAATTGAATGCATTTAATATTTACACAAAAACATGTTTTGTGATTTTTGTTCTCATGGTGGTATTTAAAAGATTATACCTTTACTTCATTTCAAAGATTTTCCATTGATAAAGGTGATTCAGTTGAAAATTTACTCTTGATGATGATTTTCACACTGAATGCTGGTTTCTGTTGGTGCTTTACTCAAATACCTCTGTTTATATTCTGGTGATTTACACACAAACCTCTCTCTATATATTCTGGCGGTTAACACAAACCTCTCTGTATATATTCTGGTGGTTAACACCAACCTCTCTGTATATATTCTGGTGGCTGAAACAAATACCTCTCTGTATATATTCTGGCAGTTAACACAAACCTCTCTGTATATATTCTGGCGGTTAACACAAACCTCTCTGTATATATTCTGGCGGTTAACACAAATACCTCTCTGTATATATTCTGGCAGTTAACACAAACCTCTCTGTATTATAATATTCTGGCGGTTAACACAAATCCTCTCTGTATATATTCTGGCGGTTAACACAAATACCTCTCTGTATTATAATATTCTGGCGGTTAACACAAATACCTCTATGTATTATAATATTCTGGCGGTTAACACAAATACCTCTCTGTATATATTCTGGCGGTTATCACAAATATCTCTCTGTATATATTCTGGCGGTTAACACAAATACCTCTCTGTATATATTCTAGCAGATAACACAAATACCTCTCTGTATATATTCTCGTGATTTACACACAAACCTCTCTCTATATATTCTGGTGATTAACTCAAAAACTTTTCTCTATATATTCTGGTGGTTAACACAAATACCTCTCTGTATATATTCTGGTGGCTGAAACAAATACCTCTCTGTTAATAATCTGGTGGTTAACACAAATACCTCTCTGTATATATTCTGGCAATTAACACAAATACCTCTCTGTTAATATTCTGGTGGCCGAAACAAATACGTCTCTGTTAATATTCTGGCGGTTAACACAAATACCTCTCTGTATATATTCTCGTGATTTACACACAAACCTCTCTATATATTCTGGTGATTAACTCAAAAATTTCTCTCTATATATTCTGGCATTTAACACAAATACCTCTCTGTATATATTCTGATGGCTGAAACAAATACCTCTCTGTTATTAAATATTCTGGTGGTTAACACAAAAACCTCTCTGTATATATTCTTTAGATTTACACACAAACCACTCTCTATATATTCTGGTGATTAACTCAAAACCTTCTCTCTATATATTCTGGCAGTTAACACAAATACCTCTCTGTTAATATTCTGGCGGTTAACACAAATACCTCTCTGTATATATTCTGGCGGTTAACACAAATACCTCTCTGTATATATTCTGGTGGCTGAAAAAAATACCTCTCTGTTAATATTCTGGCGGTTAACACAAATACCTCTCTGTATATATTCTCGTGATTTACACACAAACCTCTCTCTATATATTCTGGTGATTAACTCAAAAACTTCTCTCTATATATTCTGGCATTTAACACAAATACCTCTCTGTATATATTCTGGTGGCTGAAACAAATACCTCTCTGTTAATATTCTGGCGGTTAACACAAATACCTCTCTGTATATATTCTCGTGATTTACACACAAACCTTTCTCTATATATTCTGGTGATTAACTCAAAAACCTCTCTGTGTATATTCTGGCAGTTAACACAAATACCTCTCTGTATATATTCTGGTGGCTGAAACAAATACCTCTCTGTTAATATTCTGGCGGTTAACACAAATACCTCTCAGTATATATTCTCGTGATTTACACACAAACCTCTCTCTATATATTCTGGTGATTAACTCAAAAACTTCTCTCTATATATTCTAGCAGTTAACACAAATACCTCTCTGTATATATTCTGGTGGCTGAAACAAATACCTCTCTGTTAATAATCTGGTGGTTAACACAAATACCTCTTTGTATATATTCTGGCGGTTAACACAAATACCTCTCTGTATATATTCTGGTGGTTAACACAAATACCTCTCTGTATATATTCTAGCAGATAACACAAATACCTCTCTGTATATAATTATATTCTGGTGATTAACATTAATACATATATATACAATATATGTACATTAGCGGAAAATATAATATTTATTTGTATGCGCTTTAGAAACAGGATGAAAAGCAAGGCTCACCGAGCTTTTCTCATGTTTCGTAGCGAGTACAAATGAATTTTATATTTTCAGACAATGTACATTTATTATTCTTATCCTGAAATTTACACCCAAAACTTGAAACTTCAGTTGTTAAAATCTAAATCATTGTCTTTTATTTTTCAAAGAAATCGAGTTTAAACGTGGACCGCGAAGAGGACCCCAAAATGAATTGTTACACATAAAAGAAATATCTACATTACAGCCTGCTCAACATGGAAGCGGGGTAACAGGAGACTTTATTTATACAAGTACAAATACAGCAAAAATTTATTTGTGTGTCTGTTATTTGTACAATAGTTGTCTGATTGCAGGATAAATCTATGTACTGGTATATGTTTCTAAATAAGTGTTTCTCATGCAAAATCAACAACAATCACCCTATTTCACTTTTATTCACTATATTCACCACAGAGGCTATTCTTTGACAGAATCACCTGGGGTCTATTTAAAACAGTCAATCCTGGAGACAATTGTTCATGAAGGGATTGTTTTATTATTTAGTTAAAACTTTGTTTATTTAATATTTTATGGTGTTACAAAAAAAATAAAGAAATGGTCATTGGAATGCTATATTTGTGCAATATCAATTTCACGCTAATCACTTTCCTTCACAATAATATAAGGAACTATTAAGGAATGGAAAATAAGTTGTATTTATGTGTAAACACTCTAATGGCTATATAGCTATTATTGTAGTATTTTATAATAAGAGGAAGTGATCCAGCTGCAGTATCAGTCTAATTCAAATGTTAAAATGATGCTTTTTATTTTAAGAAAAAAGGAGAAGTACCGGATGGAACCGTAGCCCAGTTTAAAGAATTGCCGAAAACCAGACCTATTTATGCAGTTATTACTACAATACTGGATCAGGCAAGGAAAACTGAACATGCAAAGGCTGCAGCAGGGGAATATGTTAAACTTAGGAACATAGAACATAAAATGGCACAAAAGCAGGTAGACGTTTTGGTTTTTGTTTTGTTGTGATGCTGTTTTGTTGTGATGCTGTTTTGTTGTGATGCTGTTTTGTTGAGTTGAGGTACAATCCTTCATTCCTTTTAATCATTACTGTGGATTCATTTATTTTCGTGGGTATCAATTTTCATGGATTGTGGAAAACTTGTATTTACGTGGATATTTGATTTCGTGGTTTTGCCAATCTCTGCATATAAAGCCTATAGAACATTTGCTATTCTTTGAACATTTAAATTCGTGGTTCACCTGTACCCACGAAACCCACGAAAATTGGTATCCAACGAATAATAATGAATCCACAGTATAACCCTAAAAAGTTCCTTAGCATAAAGACTGCAGATAATTGTGGCTTCCATTAATTTACCTTCAAAATCATTTTCTTCTAACATTTAAAATATTGTTATGCCCCCACCATAGGCAACAGGGGCACTAAGTACCGTACACTTGACTGTCTGTCCTTCCCTCTTTCTGTCTTTCCGTTCTTCAGTCTTTTGGTCCTTCCATCCGTCCCATTTTTGTTTGTTTGAAGCTTCAAAGGTTGGCAAATTCTTGTTTCATCAGTGTTTGATAACCATTTTATTTAAACTGACCAAGGCATAAAAAAAAAATAATGTAATTTCTGTATGTTTTAACCAATATATACTTTTTGTCTCGCCTTGACTGAGTCAAAAAGTGACACATAGGTATGCTGTTTCCGGCGTCATTGGCCAACAATGTAATAGTTTGCATGTGAATAGGTCTAGTCTATGGTGAACCACTAGTCACTACAAACATTACAAATGGATAACATGTGGACATTTCATTCTGTATTAAATATCTAGTATTTGTTCAATTATCTTAAATCCACTAATTAGCAGTAAACAATCATTAACAAATGTGATAAACTGCCAAAGCACTAGGTATTTAACTTAATCCCATTGTCAGTTAATTAGTGTTACACAATCAGGTAACAATTTTACCGGAAACGCCGGTAGGCATGAAATTTGGAAATTTTATTTTTTTGAAAAGGCAGAGGGGTGCATTCTTTTACTTTGGAGGGCAGAAGGGCGGGGGTAAGGGCACCAAGGGCGGGCTGCCCTTCTATTTAGGGCAGGCGGGAACACTGTAGTGGTAGGTCAATGATATTTGGTAGGCAGTTGTATCAGCATTTGCACATCTCATTACCATAGAGATTACTTGGCCCCACCCCCTCAGTCATGGTCTATTGACTTTGAAACTTTTGCTTAGTTTTCATGTATTAGTTTGTGATTAGGTCAGTTTATGGAGAACCACTAGTGGTAGGTCAATGATATTTTGTATGCAGTTAAATGAGCATTGGCATATCTTATTTCCATGGGGATTATTTGGCCGGCCCCTCAGTCATGGCCTATTGACTTTGAAACTTTTGCTTAGTTTTCATGTATTAGTTTGTGATTAGGTCAGTTAAAGGGGAACTCAAGTGCAAGTGCTCGATCAAAAAAATTATTTAATCAATATCATTTCATTCTAGACTCCGAAAGATATTGATTTAGATGATAGAGATGAGAATTCTTCACTTAAAAAGATGGCTGAAAGATACAGAATGCCTAGCAGTCGTTCCTTCAGACAGGCAGCAGAATTTAAAATGGTTCCTTTGGAAGAATACAAACAACTGAGAGGAACAATAGAACATCAAAGAAACCAGAATTCAGAATTAAGCAGCAGGTAGTTACATGTATTTTACAAGCTTCACAACAATGTTTTAAAATGTTAAAAGTGTTTTGTCTAACAGCAATAGCTGCTTGATATCTGTACTATCTCATGTGGGTATTTAATTTCATTTTAATACTGAAACATCGGACATTAATGCTTCCTTTTGTTTAATATAAATTAAAATATATTAAAAGATGATCATCATGATTATTAAATTTTGGTAGTCCTGAAGTTACAGAGACCTTTTTGTCTATATTTGGTGTATGGAATGATTGTAAGGTGTACATGTCCAACTGGCAGGTGTCATCTGACCTTGACCTCATTTTCATGGTTCAGTGGTCAAAGTCAGGTTTTGGAGTTTTGGTCTTTTTTTCTAATACTATATGCAATAGGTCAACTATATTTGGTGTATGGAAATATTTTATGATGTACATGTCAGTCTCTCAGGTTTTATTTGACCTTGACCTCATTTTCACGGTTCATTGCCCAGTGTTAAGTTTTTATGTTTTGGTCTGTTTTTCTTAAAATATAAGCAATAGGTCAACTATATTTGTTGTATGGAAGGATTGTAAGCTGTACATGTCTGCCTGGCATGGTTTATCTGACCTTGACCTCATTGTCATTGGTCAATGTTTAGTTTTCTTGGTTAAATCTGTTTCTTAGAAACTATAAGCAATAGGTCAACTATATTTAGTGTATTGAATGATTGTAAGGTGTACATGTATTTCTTGTTTGGTTTATATGACCTTGACCTCATTTTCTTGGATCATGTTAAGTTTATGTGATAGTTGTAGTAAAACTTTACATTTAGGACTATCAACATAATATCAATGGTTAGTAAAGAAGGCGAGACATTTCAGCATGTACACTCTTGTTTAAGACAACACTTTAGATTTTTTGATTGTATGTTCTAAATATCAACACTTAATTAATAAACATGAGATAGGAAAAATAGGACACTAAGTTGGTCTTTATTCGATGGTACGGATGATTTAAATATTAATAAAAGACTTTGTAGTACATATATTTTTGTCATCTGAGTTCCATCCTGGTTAATCATTTACATCAGGCTTTTTTCTTAAACCCTGAACACTTTTTTTTACCCTGACACTTTATAATCTTTTATATGAGTTAATTCCCCTTCCAGGATCCTAATCCCACATACAGTATCTATGGTAACCTGCCGTTGTGATTTACAAGTTGTTGTGGTCAGTTTAGTTATCTTTAGCTTGATCTAAATATATGAATAACTTTTTATTGGGTATATATACATCCTTTAATAGGCAATAGCCATTATATTAAAATAGGTGATTTTGTATCTTCAAGGTTGAGTGGAATCACAAGCCAGCAAATAGCAGATGGAGAAATATTTACGGAAATTGGAGACCAAAATAAACCAAGACAGCTTGGTCAGAGATTCTCTGAGGTGTTTGAGGATACATGGTCAAATGCTTATGAAGTACTGAAACCAAAAAAACCTGAAAGTAAGAAAGAGGACGAGAAGGAAGAAATGGATGAGAAAACAGTTGATATCTTACAAAATGTTGTAAAGGTATGTAGGTGCTAATAATAGCTTTAGATATTGTACATTGCTATTGATTTAAAATCACATATATTTATTTTAAAGTGTAATGTGTAAGAGTGGCTAGCTCATTCCTCTGATAAACATCTGGTTGTCTCACCTACAACGAAAGTCATGGAAAGCAAGACATAGGGATTGCTTTTCCAGGGAAGGCTGTGGCTTTGGCAATGGCTGCAGCGACAGGGTCAACAGTTGTTTTCTGCTTAAGTTAGTTTGCTAGGAATTACTTGGGTTAGATCATTGATAATTTGTATGAAGATGCATTACTATCAGTAGATATAAGTTTGACGACAATTTTGAAGCCCTGCCCCCTAGGCCACGGTAGAGTGACTTTGAATTAATTAGCCATTTTTAATGTTATATTTTCTGCTTAAGTTAATACGTTTGAAAGAAACCACTTGATATAGATCAATGATATTTTGTATGAAGTTACATTGCTATCAGTTCATATCAGTTTGACAACTTTTTTGAAGCCCTGCCCCCTAGGCCATGGTCCAGTGAATTTGAATTAATTAGCAATTTTAAATGTTAAGTTTTCTGCTTAAGTCAGATTGATATGAACTACTGGTGATAGATCAATGGTATTTTGTATGAAATTACATTACTATCAGTACATATCAGTTTGACGACTATTTTGAAGCGCTGCCCCCTAGGCCATGGTTCATTGACTTTTAATTAATGAAAAATTTTCAATGTTAAGTTTTCTGATTTAGTTCGTTTGATAGGAAATTCTTACAATAGACAATATTTTTTATAATGTTACATTGCTGTTTGTTCATCTCAGTTTGTCAACCATTTTTGTGGCCCTACCCACTAGTTGGTCCAGCATGACGTTGAATTAATTAGCAATGTTGCTGTCCATCAGATTGTATTTATCTGAGTTTTATGCCGATAGGCGAGACATATCTCTCTATTATTTTTATTTTTTTTATACTCGTGCAAAAAAATTTTGGCAGATATATAGGGATTATTCTGGCCATCTGTCTGTCCGTCTAGTCACCTGTCTGTCTGTTAGGGGGTTGTATACAAAAAGTATCATGTCCATCTGTCTATAGATAAGAAGATGTGGTATGAGTGCCAATGAGACAACTCTCCATCCAAGTCACAATTTGTAAAAGTAAACCATTATAGTCTGTCTATTTGTCCATGTACCTTTTAACTACTTCCAATAGGTAGTCTTACATTGATTTTACGTGATTTAGTCAAATTCTACTTTTTGAATTTATCTTGGAGTTCGGTATTTTTGTCATTTGTAATGACTTGAATTTTCATTTTATTCACAAGAGTTAAGTTTTCGATAAGCTGTGTGTATAATTTTTTTACTTTTTGGTCATATAGATCTTAAACTGTTTCGGTTCTTACGCATCCATGGCTTTCAAATAGTTGGCTTTGAGTGTTCCTGATGAAGGTTAAGGATGTAGAAAATTTATAACATTTTGTTTTAATTTTTTTAGATCATTAATTTTTGGTTACTATTGCATTAGTGTTCCACATGTTTTACATGGCATTCTTCCAAATTTAGTCACACCATGTGACTATGCAATTGATATTGAGTTTAAATGTCAGTTTTAGTCTTGAATAGTGAAATAGGTATGCTAATCAGACATTATAATTTTTAAACTTTGATTATAAAAGGGAGATAACTCAGATATACTGTGGATTCATTAATATTCGTTGGATACTAATTTTTCGTGGATTTCGTTGGTACAGGGAAACCACGAATTTAAATGTTCAACGAATTACAAATTTTCTAAATGGAATGTCTGCAGACTTTTCCAAAACCACGAGATTAAATATCTACGAATATGCAAGTTCTCCTCAATCCACGAAAATTGGTACCCATGAAAATGAATGAATCCACAGTAGTAAGTTTTTTATTATAAAAGGGAGATAACTCAGATAGATTTAGTTTTTTTATTATAAAAGGGAGCTCAAGATGACTCAGATAAATTTAGTTTTCTGATAGAAATCTTAATAAATTATCAATTTTTTATGTTACTAAATCTAGCAATGAATCCTGAGTGTTTGGCTTAAGGATATTTCAATGCTTAAAAATAACTCAAAACTATAAGAATTTTGCACAATATGGGACTTGAAAACATTAAAATCACTGATATATAATTTTTAAAAACAAAATTAAAATGACAATTAAACTAAATTTTGGCGAAGTATGTTATAATCTTTCATTCTTTGTTCATATTCCTATGAATTATTGTTCTGTGATCTTTTAGATAGTTAAAATGTAGTTGGTTTATATTCATTGTAGCTGTAATCTAGAGAAACATTTATTAGATTTAAACAAAGGTGTTTTTTTTTGCAGGCCATTTATGAATTCTGCAAGAAGGTTGCTGATAATCAGGTTAATAAACTCATGATTGGAATGACTCCACCCATATTTGATCCAATGAATACAAAGAAAGAGCAAGTAAGTAGTTATAAAAATGGAATATAACATCCTAATGTTTACGTTGGTGTTGCTTATATATATAAAATTTTTCATGGCTCCTATTCAAGGGAATGATTTTATATTTGATCTTGACAGTGCTGGGTTGCAGCGAGTAAAAAGTTTTACATCAGCCATTTGTTTAGCCACTTACTGTTTGCAGATAGTAAGAAATTTTACAACACTCATTGTACAAAGAAAAAAAAACGTTTTCCTGGCTTCTATCATGTCATGTCATGAAGGAAAATGGTTTAATATTTGATCTGCAACTTGATAATGTTCAGTTGTAGCTATTTAGCAAATTATCCTTCCAACATGCAGCCACTTCCTGTTCACCAAATTTGGAAATTTTACTGTATTACAAGGAAAATTTTCTTCAAAGTTTTCTTTGCTTCAGTGACACTGAGAATGATCAGTTATGCTGTAATAAACATGTTAGATGGGCGGTAGGAACACATGTCATCCCTAATTCCTGAAAAAATTCTTTCCCAGACCCTGAAAAGTGAAAATCCTCAATTCTGCAGAAATAAAGGCCCAATTCTGATGTCCCAAAAAAGGTCATTCTGCCCCTCATGTTACCACAATCAATTGCATGAAGTGATCCAGGTCCAGACACGGTATTGCTCTTGTCTAGCAACCCAATGACCTCTGGTTTTATATTCATTTTCAGGAGTCCTGAATGAACTAGCCAAATATATCACTAAAAAAAATTCACTGATATAACAATCCTATCTGTTAAGCAATTCATTTTCCTGATGTCATGAAATTTATGTACTACACATTTATTAATTGGCTCACCTGACCTAAAAGTTCAAGTGAGCATTTCTCATCACTTGGCATTTGTCGTCCCTCGTCGTTAACGTTTACAAAAATCTTTTTCTCTTAAACTACTGGGCCAAATATAACCAAACTTGGCCACAATCATCATTAGTGTATCTTGTTTGAAATGTGTGTTTGATGGCCTTTTCCTGCCAACCAACATTGGCCCACATGGCTAAAAATAGAACATAGGGGTAAAATTCAAGTTGGTCTATAATCTTGACAATCACTATATGAATGGAGAAAATCTATCATGAGGGAAAATGTTCAGAATGATGAGATCTACATATTGTCTATTTCCTTCAAAAATATCAGACGACTTCTTATGGGAGTTCTCGCCCTTAAATGACAAATTTTACCTATTTTTTATCAAGTTTGCCTACTATAATAGATAGAGAGAAACTTTAACATGTTTAATGTACCATAATTGATCAACAAGACAATATCTATAAATAAGTCTCATGGTCGAAATTGTCAGATGATTCCTTATTGGAGTTATTGCCCTTTATTGAAGATTTTTATCAAATTTTTGGTGCTTTTGCCTTATATCTGAAAAACCATTATAAATATATATAAAATTAAAGAAGCAAAAGTGATCAACAAGAGACGATCTACAGATTAGTTTCCAATCTAGAAATCATCTGACAACCCCGTTATTGGAGTTATTGCCCTTTGATGATGATTTTTACCATATTTTTTACGTTTTTCCGTAATATCTGATAAACTATAATAGATAGATAGAAACTAAAATAAGCAAACAATGATCAGGAAGACTTGATCTACAAATAAGTCAAATTCTGCCGAAATGTTTTGGTTACTCTTTATAGGAGTGATTGCCTTAATTTATTTTTTTTTTATCCTTTTTTTGGTGTGTTTCAGGCAAAAACTAAAGAAAAGAAATAATTATAAGCAATACAAGATAAACCATTTTTTTTTTGTCAAGAATTTTATTCTAGTCTACAATGTTGGAGAGAGTGCATTGTTAAATATGCTCATAGACATATATAGGTGAGCTACACAGCTGCTCTTTATATATAAATAAGAGCCTCTAGTTTTTATACGACCGCAAAAAAATTTTTGTGGTCGTATATTGGTATGACGTTGGCGTCGTCGTCGTCATCGTCGTCGTCGTCGTTGTCTGGCGTTTTCCGAAGACACATTGGTTTTCGCACTCTAACTTTAGTTTAAGTAAATGGATCTCTATGAAATTTTACCACAAGGTTCAATACCACAAAAGGAAGGTTGGGATTGATTTTGGGGGTTATGGTACCAACAGTAAAGGAATTAGGGGCCAAAAAGGGGCCAAAAATAAGCATTTTTGTAACTTCCAGACATAACTTCTGTGTTAGTGTATGGATCTCTCTGATATTGTACCACAAGGTTCCATATCACAAAAGGAATGCTGGGATTGATTTTGGGGGTAATTGCCTCAAAATTTTAGGAATTAGGGGCCAAAAAAGGGGCAAAAAGCAAGTATTTTTCTAGTTTCATGACAATAACTTGTGTGTAAGTGTATGGATCTTTCTGAAATTGTACTACAAGGTTCCATATCACAAAGAGAAAGCTGGAATTGAGTTTGGGGGTAATTGCTGAAACGTTTAGGAATTGGGGGCCAAAAAGGGGCCAAAAATAAGCATTTTTCTAGTTTCCAGACAATAACTTGTGTTCAAGTGTATGGATCTCTCTGAAATTGTACTGCAAGGTACCATACCACAAAGGGAAGGCTGGGATTGATGATGGGGGTAATTGCCTCAAAATTTTAGGAATTAGGGGCCAAAAAGGGGCAAAAAACAAGCATTTTTCTAGTTTCAGGACAATAACTTGTGTGTAAGTGTATGGATCTTTCTGAAATTGTACTACAAGGTTCCATATCACAAAGGGAAAGCTGGGTTTGAGTTTGGGGGTAATTGCCCTAAATGTTTAGGAATTTGGGGCCAAAAAGGGGCCAAAAAACACATTTTTCTAGTTTCCAGACAATAACTTGTGTTCAAGTGTATGGATCTCTCTGAAATTGTACTGCAAGGTACCATACCACAAAGGGAAGGCTGGGATTGAGTTTGGGGGTGATGAATCATAAGGGGGTTCAAAAAATTTGGGGGGCGGGATTTTTTTTCTTTCCTTTTTTTTCTTTTTTTCCTTTTTTTTTTCTTTTAAAATTTTCCATTTTAAGTTGGTTATTTCTGATTTATATTTAAAAGCAAATAATAATGATATGGAAGGAGATACACACCAAACAGGATGTGTAAATTATTATATAATAAGTATTGTGCAATAGCAAGAAATTTTCAATTGCACAGTATTGCACAATAGCAAGAAATCTTCAATTGCACAGTATTGCGCAATAGCAAGAAATCTTCAATTGCACAGTATTGTGCAATAGCAAGAAATATCCAATAGCACAATATTGCACAATAGCAAGAAATTGTCAATTGTACAGTATTGCGCAATAGCAAGAAATATTTAATTGCACAGTATTGTGCAAAAGAAGATACTTCGTATAAATTGCTTATTTCTTGACCAATTTCAATGGGGTTTTATTCTTGAATTCTTGGGGTTCTTTAATATGCTGAATCTAACCGTGTATTTAGTTTTTGGATTTTGGGCCCCGTTTTTAAATTGGTCCACATTGAGGTCCAAAGGGTCCAAAATTAAACTTTGTTTGATTTCATCAAAAATTAAATTATTGGGGTTCTTTGATATGCCGAATCTAACCGTGTATTTAGATTCTTAATTTTTGGTTCCGTTTTCAAATTGGTCTACATTAAGGTCCAAAGGGTCCAAAATTAAACTTAGTTTGATTTTAACAAAAATTGAATTCTTAGGGTTCTTTGATATGCTGAATCTAAACATGTATTTAGATTTTTGATTATGGGCCCAGTTTTCAAGTTGGTCCAAATCAGGGTCCAAAATTAAACTTTGTTTGATTTCAACAAAAATTGAATATATGGGGTTCTTTGATATGCTGAATCTAACCATGTATTTAGATTTTTGTTTTTGTGGCCCTGTTATCAACTTTGTCCACATTGAGGTCAAAAGGGTCCAAAATTAAACTTTGTTTGATTTCATCAAAAATTGAATTCTTGGGGTTCTTTGATATGCTGAATCTAACCATGTATTTAGATTTTGGATATTGGACCATAATAGGTGAATGTCCAATTTAAAATTTTTAAGTTCTTAGACCACATTCATTCTGTGTCAGAAACCTATGCTGTGTCAAATATTTAATCACAATCCAAATGCAAAGCTGTATCAAGCTTGAATGTTGTGTCCATACTTGCCCCAACTGTTCAGGGTTCGACCTCTGCGGTCGTATCAAGCTGCGCCCTGCGGAGCATTTTATTTTGTCATGAAACTCAAAAATGTAAATTTATCATACAACTTCGGAATTATATTGCAAGCGATTGAATGTTGAACCACTGATTTTGTACATTGCAGAAAACAGAAGATAAAGAAACAATCGCAAAAACAGAAAAAATGGCTCAAGACTACAGAAAAGCTGTTGCCCCAGCTACCCTTCCTATCCTCAAACAGGTAATTCTATACATTCAAAAGAGAAAGTTCAGAACTTGAGACTCTTTATTTTGTATGAAACAACAAACCAGACTTAACTGTTACCTGTAGAAAGGAGGTGAGATCATGCGGGTTCCTTAGATTTTTATCTTGTACTTTTTAAAGTTTATATTCAGAATTCTTATTATATTCTTTAGAAACTGTTATTATAGTGTATTTATTTTATTTAAAACATAATATATATTTAGATATGTTATAAGTTATTTCATGATATCTACATTAACTTTTGAGTATATAAACAAAGACATTGGTGTTTCTGTTGGGACAAAGTGTAAAGAATCCACATACATGTAGATTTACCCTCTAGAAAATTTAAAAGCTAGAATGTGCGATTAAGAAAATCAGCTAATTTTTGTTGTTGTTTCTAGTATATACTTGAATATTTAATATTTTTAATAATCAAATACCTATTTTTATGTTTTAATCTTGTTTGTTTTAGAATGTTCTTACACAAGAGTTGCAAGGTAAGGTACTACCTGCAGACATATCTATAGGCAAAGAACTAACGGAGTATGTTGATAACTGTGTAAATCTAATTTGGTACATGTGTATGCAACAACCACCAATGGAAATCGTCTGGGGAAAACCGGGTGAAAAGTTCAATAAGGAAATGTTCCGCTTCTCAGGAAAGAAAGGAACAAAGTTTAGGCTTACAGTTTGGCCTGCAGTTTTATATCATAAAGAGGGAGCTTTAGCTGCACCAGGTTATGCAGTTCCAGAATAAATAAAGAACAATAAAATGAATTCAGTCGTTAAGATACAATTGTTGTGATTATATATGTATTTTATTATTATAATTTCAAGGGATAATAAAACATTTGTATAGTTTATATTATATTTTTAAGACTATGTTAGACACTAGTAGCAATATTTGAGTCTGAAACGGTCATTTTGGTCTGATCAAGTCTTAATCGACTGGATTTACTGCTAGAGAAAAACGTCAAGACTTTTTCAGACTTTCAGACGCTGTCACGATATACCGTGTTAAGTCCGTTCAGTCATGTTAAGATAAACAAGACAGATTGTTCTTGCATCCGATTAAGACTTGATCAGACCATGTTCAGATCAAATCAGACTAAAGGTAAAAATGCTGTTTAGACTTTGTAAGATCGTGTTCAGTCGTGTTAAGATTTTAAATATTCGGATGCAAAACGGGCGACACTTTCTCTGTGTTTATTAGGGGTTGTTTCCCTTTCGTGAATAAAATCGGAAAAGAATGGAGGGTATTCTTTTGTGGTCTTTTAATGTTATGTTGTATGTCTATTAATTAAATAACGTTTGCAAAGTTGCAATTCATTTTTTTCCGATGTTATTTCACGTAAACATTTAATTGGTTATATAAGAAAAGAATAATTGGTGTAACCGGAAAAGTGTGCAAGTCATAAAAACTTTGCAGTCGTGCTTTCTTGCATTAAGTAATTTAGTATGTATTCGTTCCGTCTGTAAATATATAATGATTAGTAATAAATATCAAAAATGTTCTTAAACACATTTTCGTCTGTGATTTAAAATAATTGTTCTTACCCATATAAAATTAGTCAAGGAAAATATATTCTGAGTATCTTATTTACTTTATATTTTTCTAATTTTTGACAGATGACAGATGTTTGGTGAAAGTTATTTACATTTTAATATACGGATTATCTGAGCATTCAACCGAAACGGACTGTCAAACACTATCTTAATAATCATAAATACCCGTGCAACGCTGTGAATGTTTTATCCATGGAAGTTATGTGAAATATGTTGCCATGTTTTATCATATATAAGGATACACCGGATAAAATTATTACATTTACAAATTATACAACATTATTTCAAAATAAATGCAACAAGAATGCAGCATATTTCAAAAATCTAGGTAACAGTTTATATTTAGTATAGGTACCTATAAAACCCGATTTTGATACTTCTCTGACCGTTTTAAGCATCAAGTCTTTTTTAACAAGAACTAAAAAAAAAGAATAAACTATATTATAGAAAAATATAACTTAGAATAAGTTATGAAACAATTATTAAAAAGAAAATGTACATAATTATACATCTAGTTTACGGTTTATATTTCTGTTTCGTAGCAGATTTGTTTTATATAGCACCCGTGTTACTTCTCATTTCATAAACAAAATGTCAAAGTGGCTTGGTGCTTAAACAGCTTCATGGTGCTTCAAAAAACATATCCTTCTAATGATTAAAATTTAATAAATCTTCAAGTATCAAGGCTAATGAACAATTTCCCAAACTGTAAAAAGAAAATATGTAATAAAAAGTAATTATTTCAAGATTTGTCTCTTATATAATCAATCAATTGTCAACAAATTATATGTGACTTTTTGTCCTATCAAATTTGTAACTTTCTGTCCTGTGACTTTCTTTCCGCTGTCCGTTAAAAAGGACCTCCCGCACTCAGGGAGAGAAAACTGCCGAGACTACCAATGCTAATTGTTAGATAGAATAATAAGTACATCAGTCATTCTCAATTTTAAATTTATAATAATCAAAATATGCATGCTGGTGCTTAAAAAAATCTGTTTCAAATGTTTAATTTAAGGAATGCTCTGATTTCAAAACTTAAATCTTCCTCTGTTGCTTTCGATTGATATCATTTGCATATCATGTAATATTGTTCGCTGAACATTCAACTATCTTAGCCAAGCATGTGCACTTCGGAATGCAATCTATAGAAAAATTTGCTACTCGTCTACAAAAAAAAACACATTTATTATTTCTTTTTTGCCATCGAAATTCCTGATAGATATGTTTTTTTTTATCTATCTATCAGGTAAATATCAAAAATGAATCCAGAGTTTTTCAAGTACATTGACGGTTGTGAATTAAGGATTAGTTACTTTATGGAAAACTCATTTACCTGAATGGTAATATTATCGTTAGTCTTTCTTTTAATAATTTGATAATTTTTCCTCTTTTGCAAATTATAGATAATGAATAAAATGAAAATTTGTTTTCGATTGCACTCAGGCAGAGAGAAACATATTTTTTTTTTGTTTTATTTCAAATAATTACGGAAGATTTTTAGTACGGATATAAAACAATTCTTAATCTTTTCCAATTTGCAAATATAATTCGGTGGGTTTTTTTTTTTTTTGCACATGGTTGATGAAAATTGTATGATCTAACTTCTTTCGGAGGTCTGTTAAACCTTGAAAATATGACAATTCCGTGAATCACACGTTGCTACATAGAATTCTTGCAAAATTCAGAAACTTGCAGTACGGTTATATTTTATATTTTCTCCATTGAAAAAGAAAGTGTTAAAATAAGAAGGTGTAAACATGAAAGGGGGAGGGTTGTTACACGACACGTTCTTCGCAATTTAATGTTGAACGAATAGAAGCTTTCTTACTTTTTTCAAATATCGAATACACAATCAAATCTCTAACTTATCAATTTTTGCAGTAATTGTTTTATTGACAGGTTTCTGGAGGCATTTGATTGGACATCAGATTAATGTAGGCGTGGGAATGTATCACTTTTATCCAATCAGCTGTCTTATAAAACAAACCTGTATGCGATGATGCTTGAACATTGTCGGCATAGTTTTTTTATAAAGAATTCTACATTAAAAGGATATTGTTGCTACTGTGGTCTTGTCATATAAAAATAGACAACGCTTATACCTATATACATATATATCTTCCACTGAGTATATTCATGGCTTGAGGGAAAGAAAGCAATTAATTAACTCGATAACCGTTTCAGTTTGTTATAAACTGATTGAAAAGTTGAGTTAAAAAGTAATCAAACGGAACTCAAACTGTTTGAGATGTGGGTTACACGTCAATATGACAGCAATCGAACGACAAAAACAACATAAGAACATCGAGAGGGTAACATATACATGTATAGTCTTCAACAAGAAACAGGTGTTTACACAATATATCAAGTTCTAAATTGTCACGAGTTTCTATAAAATTGTGAATACATAAAACCAAAACAATTAAAGATCTGAATATAAAAATAAAAATATTAATTTGAAAGGTAACAATATTTTACTACTTCAAGGCATAAATTTCCTTTTCTTTAACCCACAAGAGAATTAGCCATGGATTATATCGTCCGCATATTTTCCAAACGGTCGTGTAGATTGATGGCGTCATGTGTTAAAACAGAAGTAGGGTCACCCGAACAATACAGATTAAATGATTTTTTTTATTCAACATCTATAGTTGCAATCTAACTTGAGTATACATCTGCTAATTTAATGATAAAACATAGAAAATTGTTTAGTTTTTTTTTAAGTAAAGAAAATGTTTGTCTCGAAAAAAATACCCTCCCCCCCTTTCCAAAAAATATTGGTCATTGACCTAAGTGGGGGCTAAAATTTGGAGACAGAGGGCCGACTGCCATTAACAACAGACGACCAACAGCAAACAATTTGAAATGTATGACAGTCGACGACGGACTCTAAATGATTGCACTGAATAATTTCAACTACCACAAGATACCCTATGGATTTATTTATATATATATATACTTGAACTCATTTAAGAGATATATTTCTGGAAAAAAACGAATTCAGTATGTTTACAATACAAACAGACGACAGACACCAAGTGATGGATTAAATTGTAGCTTTTACTGTTCAATTAATTTTTCCAGTTATTTAACTGCTAAATCCGGTGGACTTATTTCGTACGACATGTACATAAATCAAATACTCGTTTTTTTTTATTCATTAAATTGAGTTTCAGTTTTTATTCGGGACAACATTTTATTTGATACGAAATTATCAATTTTGGAGTTGTTTCATTTATCAGTACAAAAAAAAACACCAAAAAACGTTTTATCGGCTTACTATGCAGCAACGAGAATGATTTAATGAGACCTGTTATGGTCAAGGTTGTATGAACAATATATTCTTTTACTAGTATAAATTGCAATGATTTTTACATGTAAACTAAAGAAATATTAGCAAAAATAAGTGCCTTGTATTTTTACAGAGATCGAAAACAAATTCCCGCCACTATAAAAATTCTTCATTTTCGTATTTGTAATTTTTATAGCACCAGTTTCCCTTTTCTACAATTTAGCGCACAAGGTATATTTCGACAGCACGCTAGGCTATAATCTATTTTCCTACTTTATTTCTAAATTCTCCATTCAGGCTAAACGGAAAAAAAACCAATATGAAATTTAATAAAATATTCTTGCATCGGAAAACTCGTGGAATAAAACATGTATATATACAGACCTTCTAAAATTCAAACTGACCTATTTTCCGTGCATTCATCGTGCATCGTCCGTTCTGCGTGCGTGCATCGTTCATTCATCGTGCATTCAACGTGCGTGCGCTCATCGTTCATCATTCTGTGTGTTTTCCATTCAACGTGCGCTCAACGTTCATTCATTCTTAATCGTGTTAAGTGCATTCAACGTTTATTTATTCTCAATTGTGTTTAGTGCGCTCAACGTTCATTCATTCTTAATCGTGTAATTTGCACTCAACGTGTGTTAATTCTAAATCGGATGATATTCATTCAGTCTTTAGTGCATTTTGTAAGATGAATTTACAGTCTTGTTTAACCATAACTGATCGGAAAACTTTTTTTTTAATTGCGAGATACTCATTTTTTCATCTACTTTTACATGTGTATCATGATGTTACAGAAATGGGTTTACTATTATGTAATTCTATCTTAATTCAATTGCAAAATATTTGAAACAGCAAATATCAAATCTCTTGTTCTCGATTTTGGGTTAAAACTTTACTGACGTCTATAATTGAGTCTGAAAATTAAACCCATTAGTGTAAGAATTAGATCTTTAAGCTGAAAAATGTTTGTCTCTCAACGGGATTTGAACTCACACCTTT